ATACAAGGAAACTAACTGGTAGATTTATCTTTCTCTCACCACACACACATACACACACACCGTTTCTCCAAGGTAAATTTTGAGGTCAGGAGTCATTTAGACAAACCAAAATATCCTCATCATTTACGATGTTAATAATGTTTCACTAATAAGTATTATTTACTTCACATATAATGGAGAGCTTGAGGACAGATGGTATTTATAGAAAGGTCGCAAAATCCAGGCATTTAGGAGAGGTCCTTTGTTGGATGTAATCAGGACTGGAGTGGGTCAGATAATTGAGAAAGCACAACTAATGTGGAAAATTATAAAACAAAAAAACTAGACATCTTACACACTTAAAAGATGTCCATATATTATCACTTGCTTATCTTTTAATATAAGACATAGACTTTTCTTTGTATATATTCACTACTTGCAGTTCTCCCCCCCCCCATAAACACTATTGTCTATTTCCAGAACATTTCATCAGCTGGCAAAGAAGCTCTGGGCCCATTAGCAATCACTCCCCATTCCCTCCATCCACCAGCCTCTTGCAGGCACTAATCTACTTTCTGTATCTGTGGATTTACCTATTCTGGATGTTTAATATAAATGGAACTAGAGGCTCAGTGCATGAAATTTGTGCACTAGTGGGGGCTGGGGGTCCCTCAGCCTGGCATGTGCCCTCTCACAGTCTTGGAGCCCTCGGGGGATGTCTGACTGACAGCTTAGGCTGCGGGCCTACGCTGTCAGTCAGACATCCTTAGCGCACTGCGGAGGTGGGCGAGGCTCCTGCCACATCCTCTGCCCTCACCAGCTGTGAGCCCAGCTCAGGGCTTCTGGCTGAGCGGCACTCCCCCTGTGGGAGCACACTGACCACCCGGGGGCAGCTCCTGCATTGAGCGTCTGCCCCCTGGTGGTCAGTGCGCATCATAGGGACCCGTTGTTCCGCTGTTTGGTCGATTTGTATATTAGCCTTTTATTATATAGGATTATATAACCTGTGACTTAAAAAATGTTTATTTCCATTCACCATCACCCTTGACAAACATTAGCTTGTTCTCTATATCAGCGGATCTGTATCTGTTTTATTCATTTATTTTGTTTTTCTAGTTTCCACTTATACTAATAAGTGAGATCATATGGTGTTTGTCCTTCTCTGTCTCACTTATTTAACTTAGCATAATGACCTCAAGGTCCATACATGTTGTCACAAATAGCAAGATTTCAATCTTTTTTATGGCTGAGTAATATCCTGTTGTGTGTATACCACATCTTATCTTTTATCCATGCACTTATTTCAACCTTATGAGTAATGCATCATCTAGGATGATCACCTTAGGTTCTTATAAATTAAGCAATCTACTTTCAGCATCTGTTTAAACTTTTGATTCTTTTCTTCACAATCAACTACAGTTTTTGCTCCAAATCTAATTTAATGGCAATTTTTGTTTTTAAGCAACTCACCTATATCAAGTCATCCAAAGCTTTCAGCTTTATATTTATATTAACATTTGCTTGTTTTACATAATATTTCATTTATATGTATTTATAATAATAGCCACGATGTCAAAATGGGATTTAAAAACTAACTCAAGAAGTATATAAAGTTCTACTAGTGGGAGTGAAAGGGGGCAGGTGCCCCAAGAGCACTTAACCTTACTAGGTGTGACCACACAGGTGGTGGGGAGCAGTATTTAGCAAGCCGGTTAATTGGAAGGTGATTAAAGAAGTTCCTACTATAGCCCTGGCCAGTGTTTCTCAGTTGTTGGAGCATCGACCCTTGCACCAAAGGGTAGCAGGTTTGATTACTGGTCAAGGGCACATACCTGGGTTGTAGGTTTGATCCCTGGCCTCAGTCCAGGCAGTGCAGGAGGCAACACATAGCCTCTCTCTCTCTCTCTCTCTTTCTCTCTCTCTCTCTCTTTCCTCACCTTCCTCACTTCCACTGTCTCTAAAAAAAACAATGGGAAAAAACATCCTCAGGTGAGATTAACAACAAGTTTCTACTGTATGTCAATTTTTGTTGCTATTAGTATTTACACAGAAGAAATATTATGTAGTCCACATCTTCCTCAACAACTAGAGAAAAGGTTATTTTTGGAACCAGTTTGCCTCAATGCACAAACCACAAATTAGCGAATTATTCTACATTTACTTTCATATAATTTTCATTCGTATAAATACATTTTTAAAGGTTCTAACAACTTGTTACTGGAAATGCAAGTTTCCTTCAAATTCCTATGGAGGTTTTAAGACAGCATTGCTGTCCCCCAGGTAATTAATTAATATTTTCCTTTTTGGCATGAAGTTGCTAACGATTACATGTTATCTTTCATCAGTTGTCACTTCTTGAAACTCTGACCTTTAAACTCGCTCTCATTCTTTTCACATGCCTTGACATCTCCCTCAATTCTTAAATCCCTTTCTCACAGCGAAAACGCTCCAGTGCTCTTAGTATCTCTCCAGTTGTCTCACTAATGCTTCGCATAGTGTCACGGTGACCACGGCTTGATACTGCTTTCCAATATCCTTGGAAAACAATGTTCAGTTTATTTTTACAAACCTCAACCAGGTTTCCAACGATGCTTTGAATATTTTCATAACTACTTACCCAACTCATACGTTTTGTCGAGCTCATAGTGCAGTTTCAGGGGGTTCTGTTGAATTGTCACCTTACATATTTTATGCCTTAATCTTTATATTTATCCTTGGATTTGGTGACCTTCACTTTCAGATTTCTACTGAGAGGAGCTTTGTCTAATTTTGGAGGTGCTCCCAAAAGCTAACAAGGACAGTGCCAGTTCCTTTGTCTGGTGCTGCCAACACTCCAGGAACTGTTCTTTCATCGATTTGTATTTGTACTTGATTTTGTGCTGTGATTATTTTTAAGCTTGTTACAGATTGCTGGCAGGGAAGCCAAGCGATCAATAGTCTTTGTTTATTGTATCTGTATATCCGTATGCAAATTATACAGATGCCCTGAACTCCAAGTGGTAAAGGTCAGGCTGTCTCTAATGACTTGCCTAGCAATGGATGTTTGGAATCCAAACTTGCAGTTTCTAAGGTCCTTAATATTAAAGCCCACTTAAAACCAATGACTTTTGGCTTTGAACAGTAAAATAGGCTGCGTTTTCAGTTCATTTTATGTAAATATTCTAACATTTAAGAATGATACTGCACATCTTAATATTCACTTTTGAGATGGATGGTAAACTTATCCATACAATTATAACACTAATTAAAATGTAAATATCCACTATTCTTGCTAAGATCAGCAGCGTAGTAGAAGGCAGTTATTTCTATTAAATGCTTCTGTAAGTACATTTGGAGGGCGTATGTTCTCAAAGATTGTATATTCTATGTTGATCGACCATTCTGGGACGAACTTTATATCAAGCGAACTTGCTCAGGCAATTTCTCTGCCTCCTCAACCTCTGGGAGGAAAGTATAAATACATGTCCTTGAAAGTGAGAGAAGGATGAAGTGTTTTTTCATTATGAAAGCCCGGGAACAAGGTATGTTTTTCAGCTACATATAGCAGCCATTTTCAACCAGTGTGCTGCAGGAGGCACACTGGTGTGCCACAAGAATTTCTAAAACATTTCTAAACTATTTAGCCAGGGGCACTAACCTCTTTTCCCTTAGATTGTCAAATAAAAAAAATAATGACAACAGCTAACACACGCTGTCCGGTGTGAATGAATCTAAATTTTATCTTTTTCAGATCTGCAAAAAAATATATCTTTTGGTGTGCTGCAGAATTTTAGTGATTAGTTCATGTGTGCCATGAGATGAAATGGTTGAAAATCACTGACACAGAGGATGGTTTATACTATCAGGTAGAGGTAAGGCATGATGTCTATATAGACCGATATAAACGCATAAGCATTTAGATTACAAGAGATGCTAACAGAATAAAGAGTCAAGTAAAATGCCCCCTGTCACTGCTCACCTATTGCTATGCCTGCAAGAGTGCAGGGAGCAGATTAAACAACACAAGCGCCGATGAAAAAACCCTGCAGATCTCTCTTAAAATGACTTTTATTTTCCAGTGTTCCTTTAGATCATCCATACATTGGCGTTCAAGGGGAGATTAAATGTTCACAGGGCAGTCAGTAGCCTTCCTTGCCTGGAAGGTAGCTTCCCATACCCAGGAGCGATTTGCAAACCCATATCCTGCGCCCTCCCCAAGAAAGGAGGCAGCCAGTGCAACACCTCCCGGAGCAGAAGCACGTAGCCAGCCGGCCCGCCCCGCCCCTTACTCTCGCCCCGCCCCTTGGGGTAACCCGGATACACACCCACGCTACCCTTTCACCTCCCGGCAGTTGGCGAACGTGGATGTGAGACCCGGCTGCACCGTCCTGGCGAGTGGGGCGCGCGGGAGGACAAAGGTGCGCTCTGGGAAGAAATCCAGGATCCTAGGGAGGCTCTATTTTTCGTAGGGAAACTTGAATAGGCCTTCTCAATGTGGCCAAGTTGCAAAATTAAGGGAGAAAATTCCTTGTTATGGGGGTCTTTTCTAAGCAGGCGGCTTGTTTACCCTTTACCTACAGGATGTCAATAGCATTCTACCTCCAGTTGTGGCAACGAAAAATCTCCAGGCACTGTCATATGTCCCCCAGAGGCAAAATTGTCCCCAGTTTAGTTAGTGCTCCAGAGCAATGATTTTCAGCTGGTGTGCTGCAGGAGGCACACTGCTGTGCCACAAGAAATTTTTAAAACATGGGAATACCTCCTTTAGTCAGGGGGCACTGACTTCTTTTCTGTTTCCCTTTAGGCTGTCAAAAAAAAAAAAAACAACAGGCCAGCACAACGGATAGCTGACCCGGTGTGAATGAAACAAAATTATACCTATTTTTTTGTTAGAACTGCCAAAAATATACATTTGGGGGACTGCCTAAATTTAGAAATTA